GCGTGAAACTGACTAATTTTTTTGAGAATTTATCTAAATTATTCCAATTATAAAATTGTGATGTAGCTTTATTCGAATTGTAATACGCATTTGATTTCATCTTCTGATTAAAATGCAACGATCTTTGTAAATTTTAATTGGAGATTATTCAATATTATCAAAATCACCCTCTACCAACTTAATTTTTACATATTTCGTCTGTTTTCCCTTAATTTGATAAAATACTTCTTCCTTGTGACGACTTACTTGCAGCTGCAGCCGAAACTAAATTTTAAGTTGGGACTTAGCCAGAAAAGTCGAAACTAAGGCGACTATGAATAGCTTTAGTTGTGACTTAGAATAGTTTCGACTTAGTTGAGTACTAAATATGACTATGAATATGCGTCATATTGTTTATGGAACTACATACGAATACTTGGAATTAAAATGCAAATAAACACAAATTAAAATAAAGCAGTTACTTTGGATAAGTACCTTCAAAGAGACACACCTTTTCATATGTACAAATTTTGATATTTTCATGAATTTTTGTTTTTCAAAAACTGTTTTGCGAGAACATAAAATTTTTCCAACTATTAAATTTTATTTACAATTCAGAAGCCCAGAGTTGGTAGCGAAAAGTTTCCGATATTTCATATATCGAAACAAAATATTGTATCGATATCGTATCGCAACTCGTGATATCGATATAATTTAACCGATATGATGAACAATGATATTGATATATTGAATATCGTATCGGTATCGCGCATCACTAATAGAAGTTAAACAAACAGCAACCTTTATCATCAAACAAATAACAAGCTTTTTTGATAAAAATATAAAAGAATAAAGGGATGCTTGTATACATCTCCTTCTAATGAGTATGTTTTTTGACTTTGAAAATTCCATTGCCCAGAAGAGGATTTAAACACGTTTAATTTGATGAGCTACAGCTTCGCATAAAGTTTGGATTGCTACGATTTACATGCACCTGAGCTAAGATGTTTGAATATGAATTAATAAACGCTATTCGTCAATATCCTTGTCTATATGACAAAAACAGTAAAACAACAGAGAAGTCACAGGAAATTATTAGAAGATGCTGGAAAGACGTGGCTCGTGAAACCGGGGAACCGTGTTAGTATACAAATATATATCCACATGTGTATGGATCTGTGTAAATGTACTAAAAGCCAGTTTTTCAGCGCACGGCCGTAGTTTAAACTCAGCAGCCAGCTGTTCAATTGAAACTGTTCAGCGGTTCAGTTTAAACTGGCACTGGAAAACTGGCCATAAGTGCATTAATAAATTGCTTTATTTTTCCGTCTATTCAGTGGAAAGATGTCAGAACCGTTGGCGATCTCTTCGTGACAGATTCGTTAAAGAGACTAGACACTTTGAAGAAGGAAAGAGAGCAACTTGTTGGCAGTATATGGCCGAAATGGAATTTTTAAGGGACTTTTTAGAGCCGCGGTGTGGTTTTGTTAAATATTGCTAGGGTTTTAAATTAATATTAATTTTATTTAACTTCTTCCAGAAAACGATATGCGTCTGACCCCGCCAAGAAAACTCGCACTGTATCCAAAGCACAGAAAGAAGAGCCCCAGGAAAATATTTATTCGGACCGTAACGGGTCTGAAGAAGAAGAAGCCTATAGTTCTTCGCATAAAAGATCATATGACGATGATATAGATTATCAGCTTGCAGAAGAAGATACTACCGACGGTCCTATGGGACCAAAAATACCTTTTATAGAAGCATTCTTAGAGTCGCCAATAAATGAGCCCCTAATTAGTCAGTCATATCAGAAAGCGACAAGTTCAAGAATGGCTATCCAGATTGCACAGACAAAATTTGATAAATTGGTTGGAACTTTAAATGAATATATTAAAGGGCGTATCAAGGAAAGAGAGGAAACCAATGACGATGATTTCTTTGGATTACTAAAGAAATATCTTGCTAAAATACCCGAAAATGAGCAAGATAAGTTAAAAGCGGATATTTTAATTATGGTTTTTAATAAAGCCAGAGAGAGCTAAATATATGTTCGTTTCAATAGTAAAACAGCTATGTACATAGCTCGTGACTTGGGGTACTTTATTTCGAAACTATAATTGATAGAAATGACTTATTTACGCAATTAAGTTGCAATTTGGCATTTAACCGTGGCTGTGCATATTTGAAATTTTTATCAATTAGAGTTTAGAAATAAAAGAGACTGATGCTTTGGCTTGATGCATTTCTGAATGCACCTATGACTTTCGGTGCTAAATTATTTCTGTCTTTTTTTTTTTAGAAATGAAAGTGCCTTTGTGTGTTTTAAATATGTATAACGTCGGTCCATACGAAGAATTCACTCGGAAGTGAACTCCACAACCTGCCGATATGTACATGCCTTATATGGTATCCGACGGATGTCATCCGCAAGGATCTAAAACGATTCGCATTGTCCCAACAAGCTAGTGTGAAGGAATACATTCGAGCGAATGCCACCCGTTGGATACATGCCTATTCCGGTTTTGTTCAAATACACTCGCTACAATTATAACATGTTGTCCCTTCTTATTAGGTGCCAAAAGCGTGAGGAACGCAAAAAACACTTTTTGTGCCCGGTTTCAACAAATCAGTTCTAAACAATGATTTTATGTGTATTTATGTTATATGGCTAATAAAATTAGCAAAGACCTACATTTCTGAACCTTTAGTGAAAATTTCCATTAAATTATTTTCAAAATTTGCTATCGGATGTAAACAAACAACAGCTGTTATTTCAAATTGACTTCTTGCACATTTCTGGCCGGAAAAAAATCCAAAATTGGAAGTTATTCGCTCCCTATTACCCATTTTTTTTAGCGGGAGGAACGATTTCTGGACTGTTTTGGGCAGCCGCGGGCTCGTGTGGAACAAACCTATTATCTACGTAATTTGCTACAAGACTGTAAACGATTTTTCAAATAGATTAAAACACATAAACACATGGAGTAAATTAGCGTCCTCAGTTAATGAAATAACGGAGTTTTCGTATTTCTGAGAATTACCGTTATACGGGAAGCGGGTATAATTTTAGTCCGATTTGAATAATTTTCAACAAATTGCTTTTCCGTACCAAGATTATTAAGGGCACCGAGTTTGGTAGAAATTGACAAATCTGTTACCGAGATACACATTTGTGGTCATAAGTGGGCGGCGCCACGCCCATTATCCAAAAATTTATAATATTCTTATTTTCTCTGAAGTGGTTATTGTAATCACCGATTTTAAGGGAATTACCTCCAGTCGTTACTGATTTCGTGTTTCTGTAAATTGCCGTTATGTGGCAGGTGGGCGCGGTCATTTCCCAATTTCAAAGATTTTCAACAGATTTCTTAGCTAGACCCTACACAAGGCGCGTACCGAGTTTGGTAAGAATTGGTGAATCGGCTACTGAGATACAGTATTTCAAAATAAGTGAGCGGGGTCACGCCCATTTTCCAAAAATTTCATAATAATATTTTTTACCACAATTCTACTTCACATATCAATCTTCAACATTTTGCATTTAATATTTCCTGAAATATCGTAGTTTTTGCATTTTTGAAAATACCGTTATATGGGAAGTGGGCGTGGTTACAGTCCGATTTCAACCATTTCCAATACTAACCTACCTTGGATAAAGGGCAACATACGACGGATGGACGGACAGATAGACGTGGCTTAATCGATTTTTTTTTCATTCATTATTTCATGTATACATTTTTCCATATCTATCTCGATTCGTTTTGGCTGTTACAAACAACCGTTATGCGAACAAAGTTAATATACCCTTATGCACAAGTGCGCTCGGGTATAAAAATCGCATTTCTATGCGACTTTTGTGTACGTCTTTTTCAATTGATAACTACGATGTCGTTTATTTTTTTTTTGCATTTTGAGGACAAAAATTAGACGAATCCAGTAATTTTAAATATTAGTTTAAATAAAGCAGCTGTATATCCACAAACATATCTGAGTCGAGTCATACATAGACTCACGGTGGAGAGAATACAGAAGGTGGCGCCGATCGCAACACCGCTAATCGGCTCTCAACTGGGTGAATTATCTGGAGAGGAAGCGCATTTAACAAAAAGCTGAAGGAAACCTGGCAATAAAATATTAGTTGCGATTCCGTACGAGTCAGAAATAGTCAGGGCTCGAATCGTAACGTTCACGGATCGAAAATTATATCAAAGAAAATTACGTGATACCGTCAGTCGTATATGCGATAAAGAGTACGTTCACGTATGTCATAATCCGAAAAATGTGAAAATGAAATAGTCCGAGAACCGAGTACGGGATCGATTTCCAGAAAAACTGACTGATTCTGACTATTTCGGACTAGTCAGGTCTCGTACCGGATCGCAACTACTGTGAACGCTACTTTTCCAATGTAAGTAATACTTACTAAGTATGAGATCGTAATCGAATTTAAAACAATTACAAAATTAAATTAGTTACAATCTTTAATAAATCTTTTTTTTTAATTTTTTAAATACTTTAGTCACTATATAAAAAATAACATTGGTATCCTTCCATAAAATTTATTTATTTTAGAAATTATTTATTCGTATTTCTGTTACACCTTTATGATTAAATTATTTATATGTATTTCTGTTACCCCTTCATGATTAAATAACATTAAAAACAAAAATCAGTGGTTAGGGTATGGTGTGTTCAGTAGAGATTTGCATACGTGAAGGATTTCTACATTTCAACTTAACTGATTTTGTTTTGCGTCGTTATACTAAGAAACAAAAACGGTTTCTTAAACATTTCGTTGTTTTTTATCAAAACATGAGTATCAGGAATTCACTATGAATGCTTGCTTGCGTACTAAGTCTCTGAATGTGCCTGCTTTACTTGCTATCAACTCGTGGTAACGTCCTTGCTCTACAACCCTACCATTTTCTAAGACTGCAATTTTATCTGCATTACGTATCGTGCTTAACCTATGTGCTATTGTTAGTACTGTGCGTCCTTTAGATACTTGCTCGATAGCATTTTGAACCAATTCTTCAGATACCGAATCCAAGGCACTGGTAGCTTCGTCCAGTATTAATATCGCTGGGTTCTGTATGAAGTAAAGTTGTCATTATTGTTTTTTCTGAATTTTTTTTTGTTTACCTTTATAAGCGCTCTTGCTATGGCTACACGTTGCCTTTGACCTCCACTCAACATCAAACCGCGCTGACCTACCAGCGTATTTAGACCATTTGGTAATTGTGAAGAAAATTCGTCAACATGAGCCTTTCTTATGGCATCTTCAAATGTCGCTTCACTAATTCCGGTGCCAGGGTTAAGTCCATAAAGTATGTTGTCGCGTATTGTGCCGGAGAAAAGTATGGGTTCCTATAGATATTTTTGAAAATTTTAACTTAAAAAAACCGTGCAATTCGATGTATGACCTGATTTACGGCACCAATATAACTTCGCAACCATGTCGGGTTTAATTCTTTCAAGTCAATATTATCCAGCAACACCCGACCTTGTTGCGGATCATAAAGCCGCAGTAACAGTATGGCGATTGTTGTTTTTCCCGATCCACTGCGACCCACAATCGCAGTTGTCTCCCCAGGCAGAAGTGTTAGGTTAAAGTTGTTTAATATTATGCTGTCTGCACGAGCAGGAAAGCAGAATAGTACATTTTCGAATTTAACTTCGCCGCGAGGATGTTCTTTCGGCATTAGACCTGTGTGTAATGGAATGGCATATTGGCGATCTAGTATTTCCCAGACACGCTGCGCCGCACCTACGGCCTTATTCAATTCCGTATAAAAATTGGAGAGTCCATTAATGGAAATCGCTGAGTATGCAGCATATAGTATGAAAGATGTTAGTGCGCCTATACTTAGAGCATCGTTTATAACCAATATGCCGCCGTAATAGAGCACAGAGATTATTATTACATTGCCAGAGAAGCCAGTCTGCCAAAAAGCATATAATATACACATTTCCATATCGAAATGCACTATATAGAAAAAACTTCAGTAACTCACCAACCCAAAAAATATGGAACGTGCTTGCACTTCTTTATAACCAAGGTTTAATGCATCTCTGAGGAGGAGATCATATGCTCTACTCTCTTCCATTTCTCTGCAAAATGCTTTAACAGTTTTAACATTGCCTAAACGCTCCTCAACAGACTTTGATATTTCGGCAAATTTGTCCAAAAGGCTACGCGTAATGTTGCGAACATAGCGCCCGTAAACGATGGCCATGCCAGCTACGCATGGTACAACTAAAGTGCTGACTAGCGCCAAGCTCGGTGAGGTATATATCTACGATTAGAATTTTATATTTTTAAAAAATCTTTTCGAAAGCAAATTGTACCATCATAGAGGTGCCAGATGTAATCATAACGGTGGAGCGCAGACCATCCGATAAATTTTGGCTTAACGAGTTGCCTATCATGTAGGTGTCGTTAACTAAGCGATTAAGCAGCTCACCAGTACCCTTCGTGTCAAACCAGCCTGTCTCCTGTAATAGCATGCGGCGATAGACTTTTGAGCGCAAATCCTTTACAATGCGCAGCGCTGACAATTAAAAAGTTATAACGTTGTGTCTATAGAATAACAGGCCGATTCTGAACATAAACTCACTGGGAATTTTCTCTCTTTTCCCCTTCCTCTTATCATGGATAAAAACTCCCTGAGGATTTTGAACTTTAAATGACGGATTTGTTCTGTAAAAAAGTGCCAACCAGCTCTTTCGAAGTTCGAATTTCCTCCTCCCAAATTTTCGGGAAAATGCTACTCACAGAGTTATTTATTGGAGGATTTCTTACTCGGGAGAAACAAATTCCCGGAGGACAAACTCCCCGGGAATATTAAGAATTGGGCTGTACTATATATAATATGTGTATACGTTATATGTTCTTCGAAAAAGCTGTTAAGACACGTTTTTGACAGCTCATCTCCGCCATTTAATATAAAAAATCCTCAGGGAATTTTTAATTCATTATAGGAGAAAAGGGAAAAGAGAGAAAACTCTGGGAGTTTCCGTTCAGAATCGGCCTGATAATTAAA